TATCCTCGGGTGATAGAAATACATATTAAGGTAAAACAATCACCTGCAAAATACTTTATTAAAAAATCTAAAGTAACTAAGGTCATTATTAATGCCTACAATAGATCTATCAGGTTTCTATTAATTTTATAACTAAAGAACTTTAAAAGAGTAACTGTTGCTCACAAAAGTAAGAACCGCCACTCCTTTGGAGATCATCAGTCCCATTATTGACACAGAAGCATGAAATGAAACAGTTATAGATTGCTGCTAGCACTCAAACTCAGGTTCTGTCATTTTCACATTCACTTTCATAGCAAGTTTCTCCACATTTCTCCACCTCCACATCTTTATCATAAACCTGGGATAACAAACTGTTGTGGCTTATATCTAGATGTCCCCTCAAAGCCTCATGCTACCTGTCCTAGTTGGGGAGTTTTCAAAGTGGCTAGATTAGGGTATGTGATGCTGGGATTAAGGGCATTCCACCCTGGGTGTGGGTGGCAGCACTGAAAAAGCAGGTGGGCTGCATGGAATCTGAAGGCACAGAAGAAGATGCTTTGTTGCCTCTGCCTGCTCCGCTTGCCATAGACTCCTCTGCGATGCTCCTCTGCTAAGGAACCCTGCCTTGGAGCCCAGCAGCTATGGACAGAGACCTCTACAAACTAGGAGCCAAAATAAATAAAGCTTTCCTACTTTAACTTTGAGTGTTGGATATTTGGTCTCAGCAACTAGAAAAGTAACTGAAACACATAAATTAAAAGAATGTTTGGCATTGAATGAGTTTATAATGAGAGCTCTTGGAAGGATAATTTAAATAAAAGATGTATATAAAAATAGCTCTTATTATTATGGTCAATCATGTTGGATCTGTCAGTACTCAGATTTCTACAGATTCCCGCCCTTCTACCACATTTACTTCTAAATTCGATACTTCAAGTTGTCTGACTCTCTGGTGGGTTTTTTTTTTATAACATATTTATTGGATGCATTTGTGGAAATATGGCTCAGCTATGCAAATGGGCAGAATCAAAGCTTTATTTTGCCTTAGTGGCAATTGTTCATAAATATCTCTAGCATTTAAACACACATAGAATTTTCTAATTAATTATTTTCTACTGTCAACTTAAATACAAAACATATTAAAATAACTAATTATATTAAATTATTTTAAAATAAATAAGGAAGAAATGTTTATTTTTCTATGCACTTGCAGTATTTAGTCAAATAGCTTTTTTTATATAAACAAATGGTATGAGTATAAGTAATCATAATTCTCAAGTTATTTTTAAGAAAAAAATGAGTTTTGGCCTATTTTCCTGATTTTTGCACATAGAAACTGCTAAATGTTTCTAAGTCAGGATGTTTGTGCTTTCTCAGCATGAAAATATTAGATAATATGCAGATTAATCTCAAGAGAGGCATAGGTTTATGTGTTTGCCATGTAGACAAGGACTTATCTTAGTAAAATGTCATGCCAAATGGTAAACTTAGTGGTTTATTTTCTCTAGAACTTACCTTAAATGATATGCTAATGCATTCTTGAAATAATGCCTAATTTAATATTAACATGGAGAAAATTTAGTAAATATCATAAAGTACTGCATTAGTAAGCCTCAGTATCTTGGGTATTTTTGATTGTTGAAATAAGAAGTATTTTTCTGTAATATTTGAAAAAGGGGGATGATTTTAGATTAAGAAAACAGTCAGTGCATTTAATGTGAAACAAATCCTATCAGAAAAGTTAGAATAACCCTTCACTTGGTCTTTATCATATGTAATTGCAGGGGATGTACAATGAAAACTAGGTAATATATTTCTACACCTAAATAACTAAAATGGGCTATGATATAATTAAATGTGTATTAAAATTTTAATTAGATATTAGAGTATGTTGAGAAAAAACAATCTATCTACCTTACTAAGTAAAATGGATATTTTTACAGTGCCTGTATATATGAATTGCATAATAAATTGCAAGTAAATACTCTATTATAAATTATTACACATAATGTCATTTCTCTGTAGGGTCATATACAAGAGATGTATAAAAAATTACTTGTCAGAAAAATAATTCGGCTATACAATTAATCGTTCTTGAGAAGGTAATATTGGCTTTCTTGCTGTGAAGAAAAATTTGGTAAAAATAATCATTCCTTGCTTTGGAAATTCATCATTCACATTGGGAATCAAGGCATCTATCCACAGAAAGATTTGAAAAGCAATCCAGATCACACAATGTCCTTAAATCAGTAACAAAGTATATGGCAGTCTTCTTTTTAGTATTGCTTTATTGCACATGATCTATTCAGCTGTTAATATTTATTAAATACTAACTAGCTTTAGACATTATTCTGGGCACTTGCATACACCATCAAGGTAAAAATGGGAAGTCCTGATCCTTAGATGTATTATCTATATGTAGAGTGTGGGCTACTGAGACCTAGTCAACCTCAGTCAAAGGTTGGGACTAACAGTGGGTTAAAGTTAAGTCTGCTATGCTTCTTAGTCCAATATTCTTCCTATCTTAGGTATAAGACTTAACATTTGTGAACATTAATTTTCATGAACTCTTATTTTTCCACTCTATTGAAGAGGTGAATAATGATGCCACAGAATGAGTCTTTATGTACTTTTTATTATAGGCAATGAAGAAGAAAGATTTTTGCTTTGTTTTATTGACTGAAAAGCCATTTCCAATTCACCTATAAGAAAGTTATCTATCATTTACAGTGTGTTATGTAAATACTGTGCCATTTTGAAAACATTTTTAAAGCTGCAAGTTGATGATTTAATTTTGGATACATTCTGTTATAAAGACTGCTAAAATGGCTCCTTTTCATTTACCAACTCTTGCCAATTATTGTACATTGTTAACATAAATATTTAAAGGAATGATGAGTTTATTCATTTCACTTTTTCTTAAGAGACAATTTAAAATTTAGAAGAAATGAAATTATACTGAAAGTTACAAACCTAGGTGGTAACTTATTTTACAATTTTAACATTTGAAGCAATATATTTTATTAGAACTAGCAGCTGTTGATTGATTTGTAGTTAATTAAGATCAGCATTACTCAGATAAAAGTCTGTCATTTTATTTAGTTTTCCTCATAGGGTCCTAGAAAAAATAAGAAAGAAATGAGAAAATAAAATGAGAGAATAAAGGAATTTTAAGTGCAGAACTGAAAAAGTGTAGAACTTGTGAAATACATACAGATGAGACGCTATTTTTAATGGATGCTGTGTTTGTAATTTTTATGGATTCTAGAGGATGAACATGCACAACAGTGGAAAATCTGATGAACATATGAAATATTTTTAGAACATTTAAAATTTTAAAATCAGTATTTTTAAGGCCTTCAAACCTTGCATTTTTCAGGCTGTGAAAAAAATTGCACTCTAAATAAAAACAGCAGTGTATTCCATTAAAATAATAATAAAGACTTTTCCAGGGTTTATTTTGATAACTTTATATGACCATTTTCTCCACGGGGCACTGGTTAAGATACATAATATTTTATTAAAGCAAAGGGCTTTCCTTAATATTCCTTTACTTCTAATATGCTTGAAGCAAGAAACAAAGTTGGTCATAATTCAGAACACACTAATTACCCTGTCATTTGGGTCAGACTATCATCTATTACAAGTCTCTGCTTCTATTCTCTAAGAAACTGCCACACTGTTAAGATCACATCTTGAGGCACTTAGCTTTTGCTTTCTTGAGGGGTTTTCTAAGGGAAAGCTAACCTAACTAACATATATGTGCATGTGAATACATATGTGCATGTATATATATGTATGTATATCTATGTTTTAATGGTACAAACAATAAATGATATACTTAGAATGTTATTAGATACATAAATAATATTAATACATATTTACTAACAGTAGAATTCATCATAATAATGTGAAGACAATTTCCATATTATCATCTTCATGAATGCATCAGTAATTCCATAAAATCAAATTTATAATCCTATTTTTAAAATTCTTAATAACACAGGAATACACAGACTTCTCCTGAAAATTTATGCATATACTTATTTAAATACATATTAATACATATACACATTTATAATATATATCCATCACCAAAACTATAAATATCACTATTTTTTTTGCAGGTGAAAGGCATTGATATACACTAATGACAATGTGAAAGCACAAATCATTAAAATAAAAAATAATGATATAACTTTGGATATAATATTGAAAAAAATCTCATCTCTGTTTATGAGAGAGTTGACATGCTAAGAATAGTTATGAGAGTTTGTTTTAATGATTTTCAGCTCTAAGCATGGAAGAACAATATAGCATAAAGAATAATTTTTCAAAAATTAAAATGGAAATGTAAGGTAGTATACAATTTACATCGAATATTAATGTTGATGCTCTTGTGGCTTTGTAAATTGTCTTGCATATAATAACTGTATATAAAACATTAGTCAACCAGAAATACAAAAATTACAGTTTATTAAAATTTTGTAGACCTATCCAGCCAATGGAAAGACCCACAGAAATTGAGTTTTGATATCCATAGCAGAAACAATAAATAAGTCAGCTAAAATTTGAATTTAGGAGTATTATTGTTTTGTTACTTTTATAGTATTTTCATGAATTACTTTAGATCTGGATGATTTATAATATGTGGATAACCTAGAAATGAAAAATTTTTAAATTTATTATTGGTATGTATAATAGTTTTGTTGTCTTATTTGCTAATATGACTTTCATGTTTAATTAGTGAAAGTAAATCTCTATAGAGCACAAAGAGCATCTCTTTTAATAAGTGAAATGTGATTTCACTGATAAAAGACGTTAATACACATATGCACATTTATACGTCAGTACTTCAAGAAGTGTCCATCTCTCTCTCTATCTCCTTTCTGGAGGGCACAATGTCATTTTCACAAAATGAATTTTTCTTGATATGTCTTTTTAACTCCATGTCTGCACTAGGAAAAGTTTCAATACATCATGGCAGCACATTAATGTCAACATAAATTATTTTATAGGTACTTATTGAAAAGCAGTCATTGATAATCCAGAGACTTCAGAAGTAACAACTATGCATGGAATTTCCTAGATTCTGATCTACATACATTGATCGGCCAGACAGGTAACAATATTATTTCACTTTGACTAGACCTTTAAATAAATGAGCATTATGTTTTATGACTTATGCTATGGATTGTGTAATAGCTTAAATAGTCACTTGAAGTCAGCATTGTTTCACTAAAATTTACTTAATAGTATTTTTGACTAGCAACTTTATAATTTTAAGTATTATCAAATTAATTTGCTGTATTATGAGCTTAGAAACAAAGAGAAATGTATGTGGCAAAACACACAAACTTCTTACAGAATCAGTAAGTTCTTTAAATATAATCAAATGTATATTAGATATGGCCCATTCCATTTGAGTCATAATGACATAACAATTAAAGCTACTAATCACATTTGCTATAAATGTGTGTACAGCTTGAAGAAATCTTTTGCTCTCCCTTATTTTTTTGAGTGAGGGAAATTTTGGGATACACCATAGTATTTCGATATAAAATTTTAAGTGCAGCTTACTGTTGGTGACGATTAGTTGAATATTAGTTGTTTTAGATTAATTATGACTAGTGAGCACACAGGAAGGCTTAGCATCCATGTTTCATCCAGGCCTTCATTCATGCAATGAAGAGTTTGTCACCATGGCACGGTCATATATACAAAAAAATCTCCGTAACGAAAGGGAAATAAACAGCTCATTCATGCATGAACTCCTAAATGTAACATTCACTACAGTGGGCAGAGGGCTACTGAGACAAAGTACCTGAGAGCTCCTAGAATACGTTCAAAACAGAGTGCTTACCCAGATAGTTGGGGTAGGAGAGAAGAGATTGAGAGACAGAGACAGAGAGAGACAGAAACGGAGTTGTAACAGCAGAGGCTACTACTGGCAAAGCCTGTAGACCTCCATATCCTCTGAAACATGTGAGATTTAAAGATAATACCATGATCCAACATTAACAAATCTGCAAAGATGTGGTTTTTCTATGCAATGGAGTACTTCTCAGCCACTAAAGGATAAACTGGAGACATTTATAGCTAAATGGATGCACCTTGAAGCTATACTGGTTTTTTTTGTTTTGTTTTTTGGTAGGGGGAATCAAACTTGGGTACTTGCGCTTGCGCAGCAGGCGGCAAAACCACTGAACTAAATCCCCGGGCCCTGAAGCTATACTCTTAAGTGAAAGAAACTGGAGATGTGTAAATATCGCATTGTCTCTCTGTTGTATGAAACTGAAAATGTAAATAGGGACCAAAATGTATAATAAACAATGTGAAATAAGAAAACACCATTCAATAGGAAGGATGAACCAGAGAGGAGGAGGGAGAAAGGGAGGAAAGAAAAAGAAAAAAATGAGAAAAGAAGGAAAAAATGAAAGTGGGGCTTTTGTAAATAAGGAAGGGGAAGAGAAGTGGAAGGAAAGGGAGAGAAATGGGGAAAAAAAGGAATCAAGACACATCATGTAAAGGTAAAATTCTCTGGGATGAATGTGAGCATTATGTAAATCTAAATACCAATAAAATTAAAAATGATTTAAAACTGCAAAGAATTAGCAGGACAAAGATATTATGGGTTGGAACAATATGCTCCTTATCAAAGAGGATCAGAATAGATCTAGAATATTCACATATCTACATTGGTTAAGGGTTTATCAAAATCTTAAAAAATAAAAACAAATTCCAACTTGAAGAAATACTGCATTTCCTCAAAAATGAATGCCACATGCATTGACACAGAATAAAATACATGTGTAAAAGAACTCAATTTCTCACAAGTTTGTTTATTATCATCTGCCTCTTAGATTCAAGATGTTGATGCTAACAAGACAATGATCAGGGATGACGAGGACCACTTAATGCAACAATTCCCAAACATTTTCATCTCAGAATACTTAAACTCAGAAAAATTAAGGTCTTTAAAGAGGTGTGTTACCATGAGATTTAGGCATCAATATTTGCCAATTTAAAAATCTCAAGTAAGAAATTATAAAAGTAATAATTTACTAATTCATTTAGTATTAAAATAAATTCCTCACGTTAACATAGAAAACATATTTTATGAAAATAACTACATTTTCCTAAATTAAAAAATTAGTAAGACTAATGTCATTTTTGCATTTTTAAAAATTTAGTATCTGGCCTAATAAAGACCAGTAAGATTCTCACATCTGCCTCTCCACTCAGTAATTATAATGTGCTATTTGGATTGCAGCACATGGATACAATCCTTCAGATAAGTATGTGATTAGAAATGGGAAGAATGTATTCACAGCCATCTCAGATACAGATATTCTTCCTTCATACTATACCAAAATTTGACAGACAGTAGCTCCTTAAAATTAGTTGTTATATGAAGCACAGAACCATATAAACAAATGTGTCCTACTTTTTTAGTGATGTATTAAAATTCATCAGTATACTTTGCACATGGAATGGATTTTTTTTACCCAGTTATGATTTTTTAAATCATAAATTGGTCATTTAGAAAATATTTTTTCAGTGAATTGTTAATGTTTTCCAGATGTTGGCATTATATATAATATCAAAAAAACTGTATATTTGGGCCAGGGATTTAGCTCAGTGGTTCTGCTGCCTGCCTCACAAGAGCAAGTTCCCGAATTCCATCCCTGGTCCAAAAAAAAAAAACAAAAAACAACTCTGTATATTCAGTATAATCACAGATCTCCTCAGAAGTCTGTATGTGTTAGAAACTTCTCAAGCTTACAATGTCACATGTAATATTTACATAATTGTAAATTCCACATAAAGAATCAAATTTTATGATTGACTACAGTAAGTCTCACTTCCTTCATTTGTGAATTAAGGCCCATAAAATAATGAAGACTGAATAAGTATAATTTGTGTTTTGGTCATTCTTTCAATCAAAAATATATTTTGCCTTTTATTGTAATAAATTTTTAAATTTAAACGTTCACTGTGTTTTTTGATCACCTTTTATTGATCAGATGTTTGTGCCAATTTCTGTCAAATAAAAACATTACAGAGTGCTTCATCCACCTATTCACTAGATCCAGCAACATGCAACTTCTTGCTCTTGCCCAAAGTCAAAATGACCATGAAAGGTAAATGTTTTATATCGATTCAGGACATTGAAGAAGCCAAAACAGTGCAACTAAAAACATGAAGGAGGACTTCCCGGACTACTTCAGAAAGCAGCAATTATGGTAGAATAATAAGTGTGTTCAAAGCCAGGGGGAGTATTTTTAAGGGGATTAATGTCAGTGTGTCTTTTACTGTAATAATTTTTTAATTAAATGTATATATGCCCATCCCTGGCAATTTAGTGACTTAGTGAGACTCTGTCTCAAATAGAAAGAAAAGAGAGAAAGAAAGAAAGAAAGAAAGAAAGAAAGAAAGAAAGAAAGAAATGAGTGAATATGTAGCTCAGTGCAAAGTCCCTAGGTTCAATCCCCAGGACTGAAAGAAAGAAAGAAAAGAAAGGATATTCTAAAATACCTTTCAGAACAATCATGATTTGACTTTCCCAATGTATTTATCAGCTTTCTATTGCTAGGACAAAATATTCAACCTCTGAAACACAGAGAAGGAGAGGTTTATTGTGGCTCATAGTTTCAGAGGTTCCAGTATGTGATGGGCTGGCTCCAAGGCAGAATTATTAGGGTGAAGGTCCTGGAAGAGGAAACTTGCTCATCTCAAAGTGACCAGGAAGCAGGGAGCAAGGGAAGAACCAGAGAGGAAGGGGCCTTGGACCAAATGTAATATCTAGAGTCTTTCCCTACACCCAGCCCATACACAATCAGAAGGGTGCTTTTCTAATCTCCTAAATATCTCTCAATCAACATAATAATTAAGATTAATCATCAAGAATGGAAAAAGTTGCTGCCCTCTGAATTAGAACTGTCCATAATGGGCCTCAGCAACATAACATGATTTAGCACTGAATGCCCAAACAAAGTAGATTTCTATTTACTTTAGAGCATTTCTTTATTTTTCTTCTAATGATGAGCTTAAAATTTAACTTTAAAAATTTGCTTTAAAAAGAAACTTTAGTGAACCACCAGGTGATATATCAGGATGGTCTGGTTTTACTCTGAATAAATTATATTACATGAATTATACAAATTTACTTTTCTCATAATAGAAGTAGATGTATGTAAAATATTTACAATTCTATTTTCTTCACCTTTTAAAATAAATATCAAACCTGCTAAGTCCTGAGGATGAGCACAAATAACCCTACCCTACATTGTTGAACTAAAAAAAAAGTTTAGATATTATTAATTGACAAATAACTGTTTTCTAAAATGCAATTTATTTGAATGAATGCACCTATTTTTTTTAATTACATTATTTGTAGCATTATCATTTACAATCATGTTTTTGGAATTACAATAGAAGTATGAGATCACTAATATGGTGAAACTAGTAGAACCTTTTTCTTTAACATAGGAATAATTTTCTGGTTACTTGTACAAAGCCAACAAAATACTCTGTGATCTAAAAAATGCATATAATTTCTCAGCCAATTTACTTCATACCTGACAATGATTGAAAATGAAGAAAATCTATCATATTAAGTTACTGTCAAACACTAAGTAATCATGGTAAGTGATCTATCAAGGAAACTGACATGTAGGCCATCCTGTTGGCTACATGCAAATTTGTCATTAAAACAGCAACAAAAGTGGAGATACCACCTAATATGTACATAGCCACAGATGCAGGCATACTCTAAACCTTTGGTCTGACTACTAGGGTACAGAGAATAAATAGATTATTCTTGCCTATTTTTAAAATTATGTTTAATTCTCCCTTGCAAACAAAGAAAAAAACAAAATCTTATTTGACTGTGGTATGTAAAAATATTAACACAAGTATGAACTAATTCCTGTAAAATTTATCTTTCAAAGGTAAAATACTGTACTGTTCAGCTCCATAGTATTTTATTCTGCTTATACTCTTTCATTAACTCAAGTTCTATCTGAGAGTTAAGGAGCAAATATTTGGGCTGCTTTCCCCATTCATGTATAGAAATCCTGACACCCTATGTGATGGTAGTAGTAGATGCACCATTGAGAA